ATACATTTGGTTTTGTTTCAGGATATATCTGCATCTCAGGATTTTAAAATATGCAATATATTAACCAAAATTTTAATTCTTTTTACAGAAATAAACGGAGGTGACCTAACTAGTAGCATATTTAAAATACTGTAAGAGTCAGGTGCAGTGGTACACACCTGTCGTCCCAACTGTTTGGGAGGCTGAGATGGGAGAATTGCCTGATCCAGGAGTTAGAAGCTATGGTGTGTTATGAAAGAGCCTGTGAATAGCCACTGCACTCCAGCCTGGGCAACACAGTGAGACCCTGCCTCTAAAAAAAGTGCTATTAAAACTGGGTCTATGAGAATATCTTTTAAAAAAGCAGATACCTTCACCAATTCCTATAAAAGAATGTAAAAATATGTGATAAAGCAAAGATCCTTAATTGCAGGACAGGCTGGAATATCCACTGGAGGGCAGCAAAATGCAGGATTTCTTTTTCTTCAACATCTGAACTCTGTAAAATTGCTTTAAGCTGCAAGTTATAAATCTACAGAAATTTAGGTTGAAGAATACAGACTAAAACTACAGGCAATGAAACAGGTTATAAAAGGAAATCTAATTTACATAAATAGGTGCTATAAATACAGAAATACTGTGAAGAGAAGACAAGATAATCCATCTGCACACTGGAATAGATATTAAATCTTACGTACATGATTTGAAAATTCTGCTTTTTTCTCCAGAGACAAAAGCTATCAAATACGTATTAGAACACCTAAACATTAAAGTCTGAGTTCTTCTGCGTAACATTTATTCATACTTTCTAAGGATCTGGGCCATTTTTTTAAGTAGGCATGTGCCTCAATAAATTGAGAAGAGATCACAGCTCAGAAGTCTTGGGGTCAATGTTTAATTATATTTGGTAAACATCAATATTGCTGTTTGTGGCATAAAAGTCTAATAAATAAAACCTACCATTGGTTTTATGCTAATATTAGGAAAATAAACTATTAAAAATAAGGTAAAATCATATATATCAAAGATATTATAAGACAGTCTAGATTACTTTAGTAGTAGAAAAATATCTTTGCTAGATGTAACTTAGTTGCAGATAAGTCTTTCAAAAATATTTTACAGTTATAAATGCTTGGAAAATCTACTATTGTGTTGTAGTGCCAAATCAACATATTTCTAGACTCTTCTACAGATCCAGTATTTAATCATTTTGCTCATAGTGTTATTAAAAGTTATTTACCATTTTATAGAAAAGATAACCTTTATTGTTTCATGAAGTTTCATTCTCTGTGACAATTTTATTTTTTCCAATTAAAAAAGGCTGTTTTTTTTAGTATTGAGCACTTCATTGACTTTGCTTATATTCAAAAGCATGCTAAGTTTAACAGATTCTATTTTACTTTTAAAAGGACAACTTTGTTATTGAAGAATGAGTTTGCTACAGTAATCAATTCAGTTCTGCTTAAGTTAAATAAAATTGTAAAATAACAAGCCTATAAATGTGGAAAACCGTAGGTATTTTAAAACTGCCCAAACAAGATGTTGAACCAAACCGAAAACACTAACTTTTACAGTCAATTCAAGAGTGAGCAAGTGAAAAATCAATGTATTAAGTTCTCCTTCACAGCATCCTTGAAATGGTAGTGATATAAAACTACCTATAAAAGACCAGGATTTATAAAATTTTATTCAAAAAAGGGAGAGATGATGATAATAAACAGTTGCTATAAGAACACATGCATCCAACAAATGGCAGCCAATACATTGATTTCTAGGTTAATAAAAGTTTGAAAACACTGTCAGATAAATAATTTTTCACTAATCAACACAATTTTAGTTATAAAGTCTTTGTAAGTACAAAAAATTTTTTTAGTATAGTGACTATGTATTTTTAAGTTGACCAAACAGTATTTAAAAGTAATAGAATACATTATTTGCATAGGCATTCCAAGAAACACAAACTGTAAATATGCATGAAAAATTCCATGATTATACATGAAAAATAACAAAATACTTGGTAATGTTAAACTGCCCATCCTTTTACCAGTAGTTCATACTATTTAAGCCATTATATTATATTATGGTTGCTGTAAAAAACATTATGTATTTATTTTTGAGACAGAGTTTTGCTCTGTCACCCAGGCAGGAGTGCAGTGGTGTGATCTTGGCTCACTGCAACCTCCACCTCCCAAGTTTAAGTGATTCTCCTGCCTCAGCCTCCTGAGTAGCTGGGACTACAGGCATGTGCCACCACCCAGGTAATTTTTTGTATTTTTAGTAGAGATGGGGTTTCACCATGTTGGCTAGCTGGTCTTGAACTTCTGACCTCAGGTGATCCACCTGCCTTGGCCTCCCAAAGTGCTGGGATTACAGGCGTGAACCACTGTGCTCGGCCAACAATTATCAGGAATTCCATGACTATTACATGGAAAAAGAATCACTAGCCTTGTCACTTTCTTGAAATCTTTTTACTGTCATAATGAAAACTTAAAACAGACAATGTCAGACAAGGTAACTTATAAAACTTACTTCAGTATTACAAAAATGAAAAAGGTAAAGGCAAACAGAATCATCTGATTTCAGAAAAGGTACAGAAATGCTAATCATCATTCAGAGGTTTTTTTCTTTTTTTCATCAATTATTTAGCAAAGCTCAGAGATAACTGGAATAGAAGCAACTGTTTAGATTTCAAACATAAGAAGTTCCTGGTTTCTATAAAGGTGTTTGGCTTCTTTCAAGTTTTAGCTTTTCAAAACTGCAACTCAGAAAAGTAACTATGAATGGGCGGGATTACTCTGGAAATAAGTAACTCAAAATCATAGCCAAAGAAAAACACAATATTGAAATTGTTTCACTACTACTAATGCATTTTTAAACCTAGAAAATGCTATAGCATTCAAATTCATTAAGAGGTAACAGTATTTATTTAGGTGTTAGTAAATGTCGGATTCTTTTCTAATTCATATCAGAATGATTTTAAGTATACCAGCAGTAACAGACTATTTAGCTGTTCTTAGGTAACCTACGACATTTGAAAGATCACAGCACTCTGAGAAGATGCAGTAGAATTTAAAACAAACAAACAAACACTGCAGCATATTTTCTAGGATTAAGTAACTTCTTCCAGTGGCCTTAGCAAGTTTGAGCAGACTTTTTAACTAAATGTGGTAAACTCATTAATTACAATGTAAAAGGCGCTAAATATTTTTTTTAATTGATGAGCTCCCCCTGAAAGAACTATTATTTAAAAAAATGTATTCTGTCTTTCCATGTCAAATTATTTTATTTTATTGTTATCATATTGTACCTAATATTATTCTTTGAATACTCTGGACTATCAGATACCACAACTCTGAGAAAGATCTGTTCCACGTTCCTGGTTTTCTGGACTAGTTGAAGTTACGCTCTGGGGAAAAAGTTCAAGACAACTGTATTCCCTCTCTTGACATGACTGAGGTGAACTAAGAATACATTTCAAGAAACTGAAATACTAAATAAAAACATGTGAAACTAATGCTAAGGAAAAGACCTTTCAGAAAAGGGTCACTATACGTATATAGTGACAAAACTCTTCTCAAAAATAGAAATAAAATCCAAGAGAGGTGACGGAGATGATAGTAAAGAAAATAAGATATTCTATTAATAGACAAAGCTCATTGAAAAAGTAAAATCCTGTTTATAAGGCTGTTCTTAAGTAGCCCACAACCTTTAAAAGACTACAGTATTGTGAGATGATGCCGAAGAACTTTTTACCTAGTATCTACTATATGGTAAGAGCAATGCAACTATTATGTATCCATAAATATAAAAAAATTTAAAAATTAAAAAAAATATAATGGGAGAGCTGCAGTTCAAACTCATGTCAGATTCTAGTGCTGGCTACTCCACTCTATTGCCTTTTAGGGCTTTGGTATTCATAAAAGAACTTTAATTCAGATTGAGCTCCATACTGATCCACAACAGAGCTACAAAGTTATACTGCTGGGAGATTCTTGGTTTCTTCAGTAAATAACTGGGCTTTGACATTCAAGAGAAAAATACTACTTACAATCTGTCATTCTATTAAAATTGTAAGGCATTCTGGTATAGTGATTCAAGCAAACCACTTTCTGGTCTCAAATCTACTAATAATTATTGATGTCTTTTAGACAAGTCACGTAAATAAGTGGATGTCAGGTTTTTCTTTGTTTTTAAATACCAAAAGTGAAGGAGCTGAACTAATATCCATCTGATTAAATATTATAATCTAATTTGAATATTAACAAAACACACACTGTGCACTCTACAACGTCTAGATACTGAGGGTCCACATATATGTAAACTGCACCCATCCCAATTCAAGGCATAGAGTTAAAATTCATGATTTTATTTTTTTCTTATAGTGAAGGTTAAACAAATAAAGAACCAAATACGTGATTCTTAGAAGGTTCTAATAATGAATGTGCAATAGCTTTAGACATTAGCTTTATCCAGATGGATACACTTATACACATGCATATATGCCCATATATATGCTATGGGAGAGAGTGGAAGAAGGGAGAAAGATGCCACTTAATGTCGGGTCAATATATTAAAGGTATAGGAAAGGTCTGGATCACCTTCAACTGAAAGACAAGGAGCTGTATTTCAGTGACTGAGTATACAGAAGAACTGCTTCAATTCAAACTGTATACTTTGACTTCATGGACAGGAAAAATATACTTTACTAAGAATATCAGTCATTATAAAACACCAGAGAGATTTTGGAAGGAAGAAAAAAATTGCAAAGCCTATTCATATGTTGAATATACCACATATTTTAGTCAGCCTTTCTTAACCAGAGTTCTGTGAGAGAATTAAGCCTTAATACCCTAAGGCATCTATAGTAAGTGAGGAATTAACATCTTTCCCTATGCATCTGGAATTATGCTAGTTGTCTAAAATCCTTGATCTAAATAGAGAAAATCATTTTCTGTGTTCTTTGGATCAGAACAGGAACTCTGGCTGGGCTCATTATTTTGTCACTATTTACAGCTGCTTACCACTGCAGACAGAAGAAGTGATGTTGTACAGAAAAGGATAAAACTGCATACAGCGGATCAACTTCAGGCTGTTTTCACACTCTGGGCATTTGGTGGTTAATTTCAAGGCCTGCCTAAAGGCCTCAAGTGCCCCACTGATATTCTTCAGAGCAAGGTAAGCATTTCCCAGGCTCAAATAGGTCAGAGGCTGAAAAGAAAAAAAAAAAATCAGCAACTCTTAATGAACTAATATTTTCTGGGAGTTACAAAATGTTTACAGTATACGGCTTTTGACTCTTTTTAGTTTAAGCCATAAACGTTACTGCTAACTGTCCATTTTATTCATACCAGCTAATTCTAAACTGTGTTATACATGTAAATTTATTGTTTACTTTTTTGTTAAGATAAAAAATACATAAAGGATGTAACATAAACTACATATGTATGTATCCCTGTAACCACCACACTGCTCAAGATACAAAAATGTTTTCAGAGCTCCAGGAGGTTCCCTTGGGCAATCCAACCACAGAAGAAATCATTGTTGTGATGTTGTGACTTCTGTCATCATAGTTCTTGAACATCAGGTAAATGAAATCAAACTGCATAGTCTCCTATGAGTACATGAAACATGTATCCTTTTGTAGCTTCTTTCACTCAATCTAAAATTCACTCATGCTGCTGTGTACCTCGGTAGCTCATTCTTTTTTAAGCTGATGTGTAATGTTCCAACATAAGAATATACCACAGCTTGTTCATTCATTCTTCTACTGATTGGCAGTTGGGCTATTCCCACTTTCTATCTATTATGAATAAAGTTACTATGAATATTCTTATAAAAGTCTTTTGATAGGCATATTGTTCTCATTTTCTTTGAGTATATACTTAGTATGGGTTGTAAGGTAGATGTATATTTAGTTTTAGTAGATATAACCAAATAGTATTCCAAAACGGACGCACAAATATACACTCCTACCAGCAAGTGTGAAAATTCAGTCTTTGTATTGTCAGTCTTTTTAATTTTAGCTTTTTTAGTGAGCTGCAGTGGTGTCTAACTGTGGTTTTAATTTGCATTTCCCTGATGAATAATGATGTTGAGGGTTTTGTTTTTCAGGTGCCTATTGGCCATTTGGATATCCTCATTTCCAAATTGCCCGTTCTTTTGTCTGTCTAAAAGAATTAGATTGCCCTTAATGCCTTGAAGGAGCCCTTTGTGTATATTATATATTAGTCCTTTGTTGAAAATAAGTATTGCAAAAGTCTTCTCTGTGGTTTGCTTTTTTACTCTCTGAATGGTACCTTTTGATAAACAGAGTTTCTTAATTTCAGTGAAGCTCAGCTTTTCATTTTTTTCTTTTATAGTTAGTACCTTTTTGACATCTTTGCCTACTGCAAGGTTATAAAGACTTTCTCCTATGTCTTCACAAAGAAGCTTTACAGTTTTATCATTCATATTTTGGTACATGATCCACTTCAAATTAATTCTGTGTATGGTGTGAGGTAGAAGTCAAAGTTCTTATTTTTCTTCATAGGGATATCATCCAATTACTCTAGAACTAACTTACTGAAAAACCAAACTGTTTTTTCCACGTTGAACTACAGGTATGCCTTTGTATAAATGAATGGCCATATACATGGTGGTCTACTTCTAAATTCCCCATTATGTTCCATTGATATGTTTGAGTATCTCTGTACCAATACCACACTCATTTAATTATAGTAAATCTTGAAATGTAGTAATATAAGCCTTCCAATTCTGTTCCTCTCCATCCCTTTCCCCCATTTGTGTGTGTGTGTATGTGTGTGTGTGTGTGTGTGTGTGTTTGTGTGTGTATGTATGTGGGAGGGGGGCTACTGTAGGTATAGTTCTATGTAGATTTTAGAATCAACTTAATACACAAACACATATACGCAATTACTAGGTGTTTGAGATTGAATTGAATCTATAAATCGATTTGCAGAGATCTTACATCTGAACAACACTGACTATCTTAATGTGAACACAATGTACATCTCCATTTACAGGTTGAGTATCCCTTAACCAAAATACCTGGAACCAGAAATGTTTTGGGTTTCAGATTTTTTAAGATCTTAGTATATATTATTTACTGGCTGTGCATCCCAAATCTGAAAATTCAAAATTCAAAATGCTCCAATGAGCATTTCCTTTGAGTATCAGGTTGGTGACCAAAAAGTTTTGGATTTTGGAACATTTGGAATTTTAGATTTTTGAATTTAGGACGCTCAACCTGATATATGTCTTCTCTTAGTGATATCTTATAATCACATATAAATCTTACACATTGTTTTTTAGGTTTATTCTTAGATATATGATGTTTTCTTTCTTTCCTTTTTTCATTTTTGAGACAAGGTCTTGTTCTGTTGCCCAGGCTGGTCTGGAACTCCTGGGCTCAAGAGATCCTCCCACCTCAGCCTACCGAGTAGCTAGGACTACAGGTGCACACTACCACTAACTTTTTTTGACTCTTCTGTAGACATGGGATATCCCTGTGTTACCCAGGCTGGTATTGAGCTCCTAGGCTCAAGCAATCCTTCCACCCTGGCCTCCTGAAGTGCTGAGATGACAGGTGTGAGCTACCACACCAGATCTGATGTTTTCTTGATGCACCTGTAAACAGTGTATTTTGTATGTTATTTTCCAATTGTTTGCTGACACTTAGCTTTTATAAGCAGCCCAAAGTATTCAGTTTAGGCTATTTTAACTGAAATACATCTATTTTTAGTGTTTTTATATTTGCTTGAGTGCAAACCATGTTTAAATTTATCATTAAAAATAGTTAAAAAGATCTGAGAATGCTTTATTTTCAAACTGTACAATAAATCCCTATGAAACAGAATGCTTATGATTTATCTAATTACCTGCTTTTGATTCAGGCTGTTAGATGATCAGAAATGCCTCACTGTAACCAAACCAGGGATAAAAAGTATTCTAGATTAAGGAGGTCTAACACTAAGCAGCTCAGATTACATTCAAATTATTACTTAGTAGTTCACACCCAGATATAAAATTAAATCCTATACTTAGATTTCAAATGTATCTTTATATTTTGCATAAGGAAACAAAGTGTTATAATTACCCCTATGACAAAATGATGGCTGTAAAAAATATCCTGCACTGAGATAAACTGGTTCGCACTTTGGAAAAAAAGCTGAACTTTCATTTCTTCATCCAAAAAAATAAGTACTGAGTGTTTACTATGTTGCAGGCATAGTTTTGAACACTGAGGATACAGCAGAAAATAAGAAAGATAATTGCTGCCTTCATAGACCTTACAGTCTAGTGTGGGGATGTCAGAGAGTAAAATGGGATGGAGAAAAATATAGAGGGAAGAAATAGAGGTCGTACTAGATGTGGGTGGGGGTGCACCATTTTAAATAGAGTAGTATGAGAGGGACTTACTGAGAAGTTACTATTTGTAAGACTTTAGGGAGGTGGAGCAAGCAATGAAGAATCTTGGTGGGATGAAGTACTTCAAGCAGAGGCGACAGAAAACGCAAAAGCCCTGAGGTAGGAGCATGCTTAGTACGTTCAAGGAACTACAAAGGGGCAAGTGACGCTAGAACAGAATGTGCTAAAGAATGATTTGACAGAGATAAGGTCAGAAAAGTAACAAGGTCATGTAGGACCTTCTATACCATTACAAACTCCTGTATTTTCCTGTGAGTTCTACGGAGAGCCACTGCAGGGATTTGAGCCAACAAATAACATTTGACTTTTTATAAGCATTTCACTGCTTGCTGTATGAGAACAGACTGGGGGACAATGGCAGAGAAACCAGTTTAGAGGCTTCTAAAATAATCCAGGCAAAAATAATGGTGGTTTGGATGGGACAGCAGTGGAGACAATGATAAGTAGGAAAATCTGAGGCATATCTTGAAAACAGAATCAACAAAGTTACCTAGTGGATTGAATTTTCCCGAGAATAGGAGAAACGCATGAAGGAAGCCCCTAAATTTTTGGTCTGAGCTACTGGTAGTTTAATTATTTCCTGAAACAAGGAAGACTGGGAAGAATAAATTTGGAATGGTGTTAAGGAGCTTGGTTTTGGCCTTAGTTCTAGAGTGCCCTTTAGACATCTAAGTGGAAATGTCAAGTAAGCTGCTGAATAAATAAGTCTGGAGTTCAGGGCAAAGGTGACAGCTAATTCAACAGGAAAACAACAGTCTTCTCAAGATATGAAGCTGAATAACCGGATATCCATGTAAATATGAACTTTGATCCCTATCTCACACTACAAAGAAAATTTAACTTGAAATGAGTCATAGACCTAACTACAAAGCCCAAAACTATAAAATATCCAGGAGACAACACAGGAAAAGATCTTTATCTATCTGAGAACCAATGACTTAAAGATTAAGCCACAGAAAAGAAAATACGGTTTTGTGAGAACATTTTAAATCTAACAATGGAAACCTATAAATATTTAGACATCAGGTATAAAATCAATTTAATTGTATGTTTATTATAACTGAATTTCATGAAAGGCAAAATGACAACAATTATAACATCCATTCTGATTTCAGAGATGTTAAAATACGAAAACAAAAGTTGTATCTTCAAAACCATGAATTACAAGGCAGTGATGTAACTCCATAAGCTGCATGTGGCGGGTTCGGGGCATGAAAATCAATGTACCTACCTCCTCTTATTAAAACCAACGTTGAACTGTCCTCTGGTTGAATGGTATAAATAGCTCTATAAATTAAAGTTGTAAAACAGTGTAATATTAAGCAGTTTGCATGTTGTGATGAGTAGGATAAAATACAAACCAGATGTTTCAGGCTGACATAAAAAAGTGGCAGTATATTTTTACAGCTATGTTATTCTTATTTAAATTGTTTCCCAAAAAACTGTGTAATTATAAGTTTCACTCACTTAAAACTTAAAGAGTACACAAAAATTAAGCTTTTGATGCTCTCTCTTGAAATAATGCAAATTCTACTCTGAAAAACAAAACATGACATTTTTTATGCTTTCCTTAGAAAAATATAAATTGTGATCTAAATTTGAGTTACTCTACATAGTATACAGAGCCATGAAAACCCATAAAACCTCACCTCAGAGCTATTGATGGCCAAAGCTTGAAGTAGTAGCTTAGTGGCATCAAGATGAAGGCCGTAGTGAATCAAAAGGTTGGCCAAGTTGACAAGAGGAATGTCTTGGTATTGAACTGGAGCTAGATTCAAAGCCCTCTGAAGACAGGCAATAGCAAAAGTGCTGTTTCCTACTGCTCTCCAGTATAGTCCAGCTTCATTGAGTATGAGCCAGACAGGAGCATTCGGCTGAAAAATCCAAAAATACTTCAGTTAGGACAATAATACAGTACTTGTTCTAAATAAGATTTCCAATAAGTGCATTTTAACTTTTAATTATACTTAAGAAACATTTAAGTTTCAGATGTCCAAAGTAAATAACTCACCTTATTAATAGCATGAAATAAGAAAGACCCAATTTCTTCTTCTGGGACAGTATAGTTATTAATACGGGAAAGCAAAATCTGAAACACCAAAAGGAAGACTGACTCAATTGAAAATAAAAGGGGAGACATTTGAAAAGAATACCTATAGATGGCAGTCTTTTCTTGGGCTCCTCAGGAACACCTAATTTGAGCAAATATTTATAATCATATAAATATCATAAATTCATTGACATACCAACAGGTGTTGACCTGCTCACATGTATGTACTAGTTTGTTTAACTAAAAAGTTGTGACATATACCCAGACACAGTAAAGTAACCACTATACCCCATTAAAGTCAGCCTAAATGTTCAGAACCCAAAAAGAAATTATTCAAAAGACAACAGCACGTAATATGCAATATCTGATGTAATAAAAATCTATTGTCTTTCCTTCCTGGAAGATACCAGATCCTCAATTATTCTACTTCATGTTCCCATAGCATTTATATAACTGTGAGTGAGCAACTCTAAGGCATAGATCATGGTCTGTTTATCTCTGTATTCCTAGCACCCAAAACAATGTCTGGCACATAATGTTTTTGGCCTAAGGAAATGTCTGTTGAATATAAGTAGTAATGACTGCTTATAATTTTGAAATTAACTTTAAAAAAAAAAAGGTGATTGTGATAGTATGTGATCACTAAAAAGATGATTTTTTTTTCATTTCCCTCTATGGAAAATGATACTAATACGGTAATCTATAGTAATAAAACATTCGTAGTTATACATAACTAAAAGGAATTTTGGAAAAGAGCATAAATGAACTTCTAATATTTGCAAAATGGTTATCAAATTAATACAAATTCTAAGTAACCTCATATAAGGCCACAGCAGGGTTGATAAGGCCAGAAAAAAAGATTCTTCAAGTTTTCAATTTATATAAACTTCTGGAGGCCTGGAGGATGCAAAGCTAACTTTTAGTGGTCGCAATGGCCTGCATTACACCGACTCCATTAGAAAACAGAGAGTTCTGTGCTGCTCATCTTCGAAGTGCTTTGAGTTAGTGGAATAGTGCCTAGGTCATCTACGTATAGCAGCCCTGAGGAACTCTCTCTGGCACTCCTTTAATAGCATGACTGACTTCGCCATCATTTCACCAGTTCTTTATCCTTCCATTTTATATATTTAAAGCTCAACAACTACCTTCTATCATTTTTTTTTGTTCCACTTAAGAGGCTTCTGAAGTCACCCAGAATGGACGGCAATAAATACCAGCCTAAGTGAGCCTTACTTTTCGTGCATGGTCATCTGGCATTTTGGCTTTCAGATCCATGCGAACCTCTAATTCTTTGACTAAGTAGGACAGAGTGTGGCTTTTTCTGAAGTCAGTTATGGAACAGTCAGGGGTTTGGGCCTCTTCTTCTGTAGAATAATCATCACTGCTGAGTTCGTGGATCCTGGCACAAGAAAAAGGAACAAGATTCATATTTTCAAAGTTTGGGTGACTTCAAGATAAAGACTTAACCTTTCAAGTCCAAGGCTGGTGATCTCAAAGAACTGCCAGATGACAATTATGCAGAATCAGATGCTTTGCCAAATCCATCAGCACTTGCCTGAGTCCTTTGTTTTCCGGAGGCAGAAAATACGTTGGTAATTCCCCACCAACAGGGACTCTAGGGTAACTTTCTGTACAATCTGATCTTTTAGGCCACAGAATATGCTGTTTGTCCTGATAAAGAAACAAAATTTCTCATAAATTTCTTTGGATCCAGTATCTTAATATGCTAAACCTTTAAAATGATATAAATATACAATAATTAAACAAAACTATAATATCTTAAGACTATGGTAGACTCCATAATACTCCTGCTACTGCAGATTATTAATCTAAGTCAGTAATTCTGCCTGCTTTACCCACAGACTCATTCAGGGTTGGGCAGGGTATAAGGCCAGTGAGACACAAGAAGAGGCTTGCTTGGGGTTTCTGGGAAAGGGTAGCAAGTCTTAGGCTCTTATGCTACTTATGAACAAAAAATCATGTTGCTCCAGTTGCTGCTGGCTGTCATCTTATGACCATGGAAAAAACCAAGCTTTTGGATGAAACCAGTACTGTGGATGGCAGAGTGAAGAAAAAAAAAAAAAGAAAGAAAGGAAAAGAAGAAATGGGTCACTGATGACATCACGGGGCCACTGAATCAACCAAACCTGAAGTTTATCCTATTTCTGGACTTCCTGTAATAACAGGCACATTTTCTTGCTGTTTAAGTTAATTTGAGGTGGAGCTTATGACTTGTATCTTAAAGCAAACATAAGCTTAAAAAACTGGCATTGAGCACTATGTTTCCCTGAACTAAGGTCTCTGTCAATGCCAAAGTTTAACAATTGGTTTATGATTTAGAAAATGTTCATTTTCTCTAAATATAAATAAGATGTACCAGAGGTTTACTAAGCTTACATCTTGAAGCTATCAAACTTTAGGGGATTTATATTACATATAATTAAATCCAAATGGCCATTTAATTCTGTTATACACTTGATTAAATTCTGAAAATTTAATGGTGAGTAAAATATACAGTCTCTTTCCCCCTACCTTGGTATTTGCCTCAGCAAACCTACCATTCTTTCTTAGCTGGTCTAGAAATGCACATGTACTAACTTCTTTATTGTCTGTATCTCCTACTAGAATGTAGGCTGCAGAAGAGCAAAGGGGTTATCTATTATACTGCTAGTATTAGTCTGGCACACCGGTGGGAGCTCAATAAAAGAATGCTGATTAAGTAAGTGAAGTATAAAAAACATATACTTGGGTAAAGTTTAAAAACTTGTTAAGGTTGGTAATAATACTCAGAATAAAGCTTTGAATTGAAGTCAGTGTGTCTATCTACTCTACTTGATTGGGAAAAACTCAAGCAGAGACTGCGTCTTACTCATTCACTACCTAGCAGAATGGCTTCCTTCTAATAGAAATGTAACAAACATTTGCTGAACTAATCTCGACAGTCATTGAGGCCATATTAATCAGTAAGGTTAAGGGCCACTGCTTTAATGGATCTTGCCAGTTTGAGAAAACTCCTTCATCATCGTCTATTAACTTACCCTATATGCATCAGAGTCCCTGCCCCAAATCCAGAGAATAGAATGGGCTACGGGAGAAGACTTGACCGAATCATTGATATCACTCTGATTTGATTGAACATCAAAGTTCACAGACATCATACTGGAGGTTGATGAATCCTCACCAAACTAGAAAATGAAACAAAAAGTTCAATCAAATTGAAAGTGGAAAAGGAGTTGTGACTATAATTTAACTCACACCAAAAAAAGCCAGTAAATACTCAAAATTAGTAGAAAATCAGAAAGTAGCTCAGTAATAAAGCAACTGGATCTTTTAATTTTAAGAACTATGCCCCAACTATATTTTTTCATGGATAATGCATAGTTAGTAACTTTCAATAACTTTGCCATTGAAGTTTGAGAAAAATGGCATAGGTCGTTTTCCTGTCCCTTTGCTTCATTTTTATGATTTGTCTCTTTAGGTTAATAATTAGCTAATTTGGAAATCTGGTTCATTATTCCCCTTTTCTTCCTACACTAAAATGCTCACCACACTAAAATTAGCGTGCTGTGTGTGGGTAGATGCAAGGGAACTTAATAAAGTGGTCTTAAGAGTTTTACAACTATTACTTAAGGATTATAGACTATTGTACAATCAATTACAATGAAAAGTTATAGGGGTGAAAGGGTAACCTAGAAGATGAGAGAACACAAGCATATAGAGCCTTTCTTCAGAGCAAGGTGGAACAATGTTGGATATACTTACAAGGTGCTTCTGTGTTTCTGAAACCTTGCTAGATAATGAGAATGGGACTGGGGATGGGATGGGGTAGGAAAGACATAAGAAAAAGGAATGAATATGATGAATTTGTAGCTCTAGGTCTTTAGGACTAGGAATGGAGTCTTTCATTATATAGTGGTGATACAATTTTATGAATACAGACTATTGGAAGCTACACTCTTTCAAATGGTTTGTCCTAAAACCAACAAAAAGTCCAAAGGATACACTGGGTTTCAATCTATTTCATTTCTAAACACCCCCGTTTTTCCCTTTAAAATGCTTGGTTTTAAGACAGGGAGCTACAATCCCAGAGGGTGTGAATCTGGTCTTCCTTTATGCTTTCTCTTGAAAACCAAACATGAGATATTGCTGGGAGCTGGTCTACAACACTCATAGGAAACTTTTGGTCCCTATCACTATTTCCCCTTTTAAATGGCTTCTTAATTTTTGTCTCTTATTTTCCAAATGCAGTCAGATTTTTTCCAGATTAAAGAGTTCTAAGTTTTTGTGGTTTGTCCTCCTATGGCTGCTCTCCTTAGTTATGTTAATTAGTTACTGCTGGAAATTTCTGCATCTACAATTAAGGACATGATGAGTTTTCTCTAAGATAGGATAAATGTTGTTTTATTTCTAACACAGATTGAGTATCAGTTATCTGAAATGCTTGACCAAGAGTGTTTCAGATTTGAGATTTTTTTGGATTTTGGAATATTTTATTACACTTACCTGTTGAGCATCCCAATAAAAAAATGTGAAATCTGATTTCTTTTGGGCATCATGTCAGTGCTCAAAAAGTTTCAGTCTTTGTATCCCTTTTTTTTTTTTGATAGTCAGAATTCTGGTTGTACTTGCTGTCTGTATCACTTATTCAATAACAATTATATACTATTTGGTATCATTGTATTTGTTATTTCTTCCCAACTATATAGATTAGGATTCTATATATGTATATGTGTGTGCATATATGTATATAGAGACAGAAAGTGAGAGAAAGCACACATCTGGCAGTGTGCTTAACAAAGATTTTCTGTTGATAATGAGTATTTTGTTGTTGGTGTTGGTTGAGGCAACATAATTGGACTGATTACTTCAGGAAACAAATAGCATGGTCGCTCTCAAATTTTAAATACGTCTTACTCTAATAGTAAAGTGGGGAGATGAAAGCTTTGAGTTCAACAATAATAGTCCAATTCTAGCTCTCACGGTAAAGGAGAAAAGAATCAAATGTATGTGCATATAAATATGTAGATGGTACTTTGAGAAACAGAAAGCATTCATGGAGTTACTGAGTACTCTCTATAAAATCTGACTTCATATACATAACAGATACTCAAAATCTCTCTCTCTTATTTTTATTTATTTATTTTTTGAGACACAGTCTTGCTCTGTTGCCCAGACTGGAGTGCAAATGGCATGATCTGGGCTCACTGCAGCCTTGACCTCCAGAGCTCAGGTGATTCTCTCACCTCAGTCTCCCGAGTAGCTGGGACTACAGGTGCATGCCACCATGCCTGCCAATTTACGTATGTTTTTGTAGAAATGGGGTTTCACCAAGTTACTCAGGTTGGTCTTGAAATCCTGGGCTCAAGCAATCTTTCTGGCTCTGCCGCCCTAAGTGCTGGGATTACAGGCGTGAGCCACTGTGCCCAACCTCAAAATCTTAAAGATCTAAATGACAATCACAAATTTTAGAGGTCAAATATATAAGGAATCAAGGGGAAACACAAAAATTCAAAAAAAATTTTATAAAGCAAAAGTTTGTAAGAACTAGATTGGACCAAGAAAATGACCTGAACATAGTCCACATTTTCAAAGATATCTCCACGATGATAGCGTACAGGCTGGTCCCACTGGCAATGTAAACTATGCTGCTGGTTGACCAGTCGGCATATCTGATGATTTCCTGGAATAAGGAAATTACACAAATGATGAGCAAGGTCAACAATAAATGTGATTTTCTTAGACTAAGTCATTTAGTATCAACTCTGTATCCCTCATAGCCTAGCAGATCACTTATATAGGATGTACTTATATAGAGAAATACTCATTAATGGTTAATCAAATCATTCTAAGAAGTACCGGTTTTTCCGCCTATAAAAAAAAGGAATTACACTAGATGATTACTGAGATATCTTTCAGCAATTATGCTCTATGATTATAAAATCTATTGATTATATAGTTTTAAGAGACTTTGGCCATCTTTCCGGAGAGAATTTGCTTTATATACTTCATAATTTTGTTTCTCTGGTTGTATTTCAGCAGAATGGGCAGTAAATAATCCCGAGGATTGATTAGACTCTACACTCAAAATAGCAAAGAAAACTTGTTAAGGGAATTGCAAAATGAACTATAAATGGTCACAGCTAACGGTCAACGGTTTACAGGCTTTCTTGACCAACTTATTTATCAGGGGAGAAGGATATAATTAAGAGATTCTATTTTCTCTGCTGTTGAGTTGTCAGATCTGCTCCCTTGTAATCAGAAACAAAACATTCTAGATATAACCAAAGCATTACTCTCATGCCAACCCAAGTTCCTATAAACCAGTGGTTCTATTTTTTGGATCACAGATGCTTAAGAGATTTTAATAAAAGCTATATACCCTCTTCCCAGGAAAATAAAATTGGACACATACACATTCTACATATAATTTTGGAGAGGATTTTAGAACCCTTTGAAACTCATCCATTGGACACAGGTCAAGAATTCCAGTCTAGCCGGGTGCTGTGGCTCACACCTGTAATCCCAGCGCTTGGGAGGCCGAGGTGGGTGGATCACAAGGTCAAGAGATCAAGACCATCCTGGCCAACATGGTGAAACTCCGTCTCTACTAAAAACACAAAAAAATTAGCTGGGTGTGGTGATGCGTGCCTGTAGTCCCAGCTACTCGGGAGGTTGAGGCAGGAGAATTGCTTGAACCCGGGAGGTGGAGGTTGCAGTGAGCCGAGATCACTCCACTGCACTCCAGCCTGGCGCCTGGTGATGAAGCAAGACTCTGTCACAAAAAAAAAAGAAAAAGAATTCCAGTCTAAAATTTTACTTCTAAAATACTGTTTTTAAGACAGCAAGAAAAAAAGGAGTATGGGTAGGTTGTTTCTAGGGTGGGTCTGGCTCATATTCACTTACTGTAACGCCTTGTTACCCCATAGTACAGTTTTTAGACCTACGGCAACAGGCATCACCTAGGAGCTTATTAGGAAGGCAGACTCTCAGGCCTCACTTCAGACCTACTGAATCATAATCTGCATTTCAACAAGATCTCCAGGAGACTAACATGCATATTAAAGTTGGAAAAAAAACCCAAACTGATGTTGAACACAAAAGGCAACTAACTGTTAAGACTTCTAGGATTGACTAGACTTGTTTTTTATTTCAAAATGTAAATCTGAAAAATGCAAGGGGGACCAAACCAGCTCCTCAGGCCTCTTGGTATACCAACGGTGATGAATCATGATTTCACGATGTAGGGAAGTTATAAACACTACTTCATACTTCTTTAAGGCTATAAGAAAGCTATGATAGTAAAGCATGCTAGAAGTGAATTTCCTAACTTGTCTTCAATTACTTGGAGTCACTACTTACCTAATTGTGCCTCTTTTGCCATCTGAGTCTCATGAATGATATTTCTTAAGATTTGCTCCTCCTGAATCAGTTTATGTTTTTCTAGGATTTCCTGCTGTCTCAGGTAGTGGTCATGCTGCTTTTGATATTCCTTTAACTCATTCAGTGTTCGCTGGAGAGATCTTAACATGTTTTAATACCAGGAAAAAGTTAGAGCTATAAAGTTATAAAATTTTAATCCCACTTAAACACATACCTTTTTTTCTGGTTCGCAGCAACGATTACTGTGTTTTTCCTTTTATTTAACATACAGTACAACCCTGTACCACCAGTTCAAGAATAACAAGGCAAAAAGATAAATGTGAAATTCTTCCCAAACTTTTTTTTTTTTTAAAGAAATGGGGTCTCACTCTGCTGTCAGGGCTGGATCCAGATGCCTGATTGTAGCTCACTGCAGCCTTGCACTCCTGGGCTCAACTCCAGGGCACAACTCCTGGGCACAAAGAGTTCTCTTGCCTCAGCCTCCTGAATAGTAGCTGGAACTACGGGCACATACCACCATGCCTGGCTAATTTATTTTTAGAAACTGGGTCTTGCTATGTCACTCAGGCTAGATTTGAACTCCTGGCCTCAAGTGATTCCTCCTCTCCACCCTGCCTCAGTCTCCAGAATAACTGGGATTGCAGGCATCAACCATGACACCTAGGAATACCACTATCCTGACATCAAATGGTATGTTGCATTTTTCAGGTGCCATAAACAATACATGACAACATACAAGTTTACATATTTAACAACTCTGTTTCTCTCTACAAAATTTGTGTCAGTACCACCAACATTCAAAGTCTTTCTAGAATCCTTTCCTCCTTGTCAGTTTTTCCCTCGAATCTGCTTAAAAACAAAGTTAAGAGTTAGGGGCCAAGGTACTTTGCTTTCATACTTCAGCTTATTGGTTACAGACCAGGAAAACCACAGAAATTATGCTTAGAAAGGAATATGGTTCACCAACTGATTTCAGTAAATCAGCTGCCCGATCATATTTAATCACAAAACCCTTACTGACTATTACACACTGTAACACACAGGGACTTTAGGAGCTATACAGACGGTATAAGATAGAGCCAGTTCAATTATTAAGAGCATGATATTGGAAAAAGCTCAGCCAGGTATAACAGAAACCAGTTATAAATAAGCAAGCTGTCATCCTTTTTACTTCCTACCACATTATGCTTTAAATAGATTGGAAAATAAGCAAATACAAAATTTAATGAGTTCTAAATTTCTGTTTAATTCCTTAATAACCAAAGTAAACTCAAATATTACAGCTAATTCTGAGATATAAAGAATTCACTTCTGAGTGAAGTTTCTTAACTAGCCCTATTGATGAAAGGAAATGCTTTTTAATTTATTATACCTCAAGGATCAAATACAATAGAATTCCATTACTGTACAACCTAACACATAATTATGAAGAAAATTTGGGTCAAATAATGTCTCTTGATGTCATTTAACTACCTTAACAATAGGCCAACCCTAGGAGTCACCACCTCTCTCCAAGAAGAGAAAGATCAACTATTGTACATGTAAGTGATTTTACTGAAACTTAGTATATTCCATGGAAATAAAAACGTAGTCAACAAAGCTGTAAGTATTCCAGTCTCTCCATCCCCATCTGACTTCATAAAAGTAATTGATGATCAAAACTGTAAAGATTTAAATGACAGTTTTTACTACAAATATTCTCTAGTTGCAGGAATCCATACAATTAAAGATATTCCTCAGGCCAGGCGTGGTGGCTCACGCCTGTAATCCCAGCACTTTGGGAGGCCAAGGCGGGCAGATCGCCTGAGTTCAGGAGTTCGAGACCAGCCTGATCGACATGGAGAAACCCCGTCTCTACTAAAAATACAAAATTAGCCGGGCGTGGTAGTGCATGCCTGTAATCCCAGCTACTCAGGAGGCTGAGGCAGGAGACTTGCATGAACCTGGGAGGTGGAGGTTATGTAAGCTGAAATCGTGCCATTGCACTCCAGCCTTGGCAACAAGAGTGAAATTCTGTCTCAAACAAACAAACAGACCAAAAAATATATTCCTCTACACAACCACCAGGACTTGGAGGAAATGGATAGGACTTGCAGTAGTGAAGAGGTTTCTTTCTTAATTCCAAATACCAAATGAACACTGATCTCCTACACAGATTTAACCTAAGGTTCTATAGTGCTAGTGCCTGAGTGAAATTTTTCCTCTTAATTACCTATGTTGAGCCTCCAATTTCTGCTCCAGTTTTTGCTGACATAGAACAGCATGTTTCCTTTTTATAGCTTGCTCAAACCCAGGTTTGGCCTGCAAAGCGTGGTCATAACAGAGCACTGAGTGGTTATATTCCCCAAGCATCTGAAGAGACAAAAACAAGCACACATATATACACATAATACACAAGGCGAAGAAATGTTAGCCATGGCCTGGTTGCATCTGTCCAAATCCTCTAATGATTTATGAGATCACACCTGGATTTTACTCTCCAATGACCATTGCTTTGATCAGCGACCACATCCCTACAATATTAAGATAAACTATAGGATGGTTTCATTGGAAGATATTGCTGACCTTAAAAGGTGTATTCTTTAAAAGTTTCAAATTCCAATTTAATTATTATTATTTTTTTTGGCAAGAGGATAGAACAATTACACTATTGTGCTGAGAATTTTTCTTCCTCCTAATTTCATTTCTATTATTCACACCAAAAGAGGAACCGAAAAAAGTAACATTCCACTGAGGGGGGAGAGAAAAAAAAGAAAGTGGCAACTAGCGTGTCTCATGAAACAAAAAGTAGTACTTACTGCATATATATTCCCCAAGGTATAATAGCTGGTGAAGAAGTCACTGTCATCCAGAGCTGCATGGACCACAACAGCAGCATCAGCAGAGAAGTGTGCTCTGTGTAGAACATTTGCCAGATTGACCAGGGCAATGTCTTTATTGTGCCTAAGGAAAGCAGCACATATTCCATGATCATGAAGAACTACTTGACAAGGAAAAATGACATTCAAAGTTACTTGTGCTTAGGAAAATAAGATATAGGTGGCAAAAATAGATAATCACAGTGTTTCGTTTTTACATTATTGATGGTTCTTAACCTGATAGCTACAAATTTTGTCACAAAAAAAAAGGTCAGGCAGATACTGTAAGATTTTACAATTTAGGGCTTATATTTGCTTTAAGAAAAGTTAAATTTAGTTTATGATAATTCCATTCAAGTCTAACGTGAATCACAGGACACCCATGTAACACATTGTTTCCTTAATGGAAATGCAAAGTATATTACACAATTATCACTTCAAACTTTTTGACATCTGTGATTTTTCTTCTTTTTTTCTTGGTGGTGGGCTAATTTCTTTGAATAGGGATGGAGAAAAGTATAAAATGCAATGCTGCTTCTGATTGTTTTCTTACGTATTGTTTCTTTAACAGTCCTGAGGAATGTGGAAAACCAGGAAAATCAGGTCCAGAAGAGGAGGAATCTTACCTGGAAGAGAAGTGAAGCGCTCGCATGGCACACTCCACTACCTGATACGGCTCATTCTTAATTCTCCAGTAAAATGACGCCATGTTATACAGTACCCATGAGGAAGAGTTCTAGAGATTAAAAAAGTAAAATTGCAAACACGACTCAAAACAGTTTAATTTAGAATGCTCAAAAAGAGCACCTTTAATATTCTGGCTCTTCCAAAATTCAAGATGAAGAAGAACAAGACTAATGAAAGCAATGATAAAGAAGAGGACACAGTGCAAAGAAACTAACAGCATTCTAATCATCAGCTGAGAATGCATATTATGGTGTGATCTTCATATAAAGACCATCCAACTCCAGCTTATTCCAAGAGGGAAGTAAAACTGAAAATCCCACCAACTGACCACAACTTGTTGGGTGGGCTCTATTCAGAAGTTAAGTCAAAAGATCTAATCTACTTAGAAATAGCTCCAATATGAAATTCCTGAAATTAACATTTAAAATATTTTTCCATTTATGTAATATCTGAGTGAAGCCACAAACTTAAACAGGTTTACTCTAAATATAAAGACAGAAAAAGAGGAAAAAGGGTGAAAAACATGAACACACAACTCAAATAATGAAACAGCTAAAAAGTATGTAAAATGTATAACTTCACAAAGAAATAGAAATTTAAAAGATACAAGTTTTCCTTTTACAAAGTGGCAAAGACTAAAAAGAATGCCAATACTTACTGGATATTAACTTTAGATTTTAAACTATAGAAATGTTAAGCTACTACAGCAGTTCAGGGGGACAATCTGACATGTATGTAAAAAGCTTTAAAAATGTATATTAACATACAAATTAATGTATATTACATTTACCCTTTGACTCCCACAATTCTACTATTAAAAATGTATACTATGGGGAATAATTAA